CAATACAGAGGCTACAATGACGCGGCACACGTACACTCATGTTACCATATCCAATAACATAAAACTGACCTTTGGTCTGCACAAAGTAACTTGTCTTGGCTGTGTTTTAGTAGACTAGTATTTTGTAAAGTACAGTCACATTGCAATTATTATACATTATATATGTATACAGATTATTGCTATTTTGAAATAAGTTCTTACATTAAGTTTTCGTAAAACATAGAACAATAACTAAAGAAGTTATGACCTTTGTACTTGGTTGCTACTCGATGTAGGTTACTAAGCTTTTAAAAAAATTGCACATGGAGGATACGAAACAAAATATTTTTTTTTTAGGTTTTATATATATATATATATACTTGAACAACTAAAGAATCATAAATTACTACATTAATACCATAGAATTCCACTATAATTTATCAAGCTTAGTAACTAAGATGTATTTTAGTCTAAAAAAAATATGAAATTTTGTGCAGACTAAAGACACACTGTACCTCATTGAAATATTGGTTCAGAAGAGAGAAGTGAGCAATATCTTAGCAAATTGAAAAGATAAGAGGCTCTTATTTCATATTCTAGTTTGTCAATATCGGTAATTTGAGTTACTAATTTGTTCGAAACTATAGATTTAGTATTTTAACTTCACAAACATCTAATTTGAACCAGTGCTGCATTCAACATACCAAGTGACACACAAAAATCAATGTTTATCTGTGTTTTTTAATATCTACTTTTAAATTAACAGATTGAGTAATGTATAGTTCTAACATTTGAATTATAATCTACAGTTTGATACCAAAATTATTGACATAAATTCATAAAATAGTAGGTCAATAAAATTTTGAATGCGAGTCAACAAATGAGATGACATTGCCTTTCACCTGTGACCCATATCGAAAGGGTTAATTTGGCATTAAGTTCTGTTATGTACAGTTGGCTTTGGAAGATAAAAATTAATATATACATCAAGTGTTCCATCAAAGCTATAATATATAGTAACCATGGCTACTCTTTAAAGTCCATTAAAGTGAATTATGTTACGTATAATAAGTGATATAACTCTTATGTTATGAAACCAAAACATCATCTCTACCTTTACAAACTGTTCATTAATGATTTCACAAAAGATGCATTTGATTTTGGATTTATAATATCTTTAGTACTTCTTATGAAACTGAACATTAATTGAGGTAAGGTTAGTCAGGGAAATGGAACTAAAATATCATTTTTGTTAAGCCTAATCAAAGTTGACTGCAGTATTCATAGATGGATATGCATACTGTAAAATGTTCACTTAGATTAATATACATTTCTAGCTACAGATTATAAAAATGATAAGAAAATTACAACAATACTCTTTCATTTCAAAGCTGACTATTGAAGCAAAGAAATATACATAATTGAGATGCCATTATTCCATAATATTGAACACAGAATATTTAGAGGAAGAAGTTTAATTTTACATAATAAGAAACTGTAAAACTTACAGGTATCTTATCATCAGAAGCAAACATACTTAATATTTTCCATAAACATGCACCTGATAACTAATAAATCAATTTATCTATTACTGTGCAACTTAACTAAGACTAAACTAAACATGAGAGTTACAGAAACACAACTGGTTCCACTTTAAACACATCAACAGGGATATACCTGTACACTGTATATATACAGCACATGTGTCTAAGCATCTGTTAAGTAACAATCAACACATACAGCAGATCCTAAAGGCACAAACAGACCAACTACCTGAATGACCTAGTAAGTTAAGCAAAGTTATGCCTGATCCTTTCCTGTATCCTTATCCTTAGTGTTAATGTACCTGATCCATATTCAATGGTCAGTGAACTCAGAATAATACAAAATCAAGTATCAAGATTGCAAATGATTTTAAAACTTAAGATATTTTGTTTTCACAAAAAATATCCCTTATACTTACACTAGATAATTCTGGCTTAATATCTTATGTTCCCATAATATTTCTTAACATTACTAACTGAAACTTAATATATCAGCTACAGGGGCATCATTATTTTAGTGCAAATGTGAGGAAAAGTACACATCCAAACAGCAATCCTTTAAAAAGATATTTTTATCATTGCTAAAAATCATAGGAAACTATTTTTTTTGTAAAATTTTCAACTTGCTCTTGATTTTTTTTAATTCTAAAGAAATAATGAACCAAAAGAGGCTTTTTGGGAAAAGTACATAAGCAAATTAATTAAAGACTTAAAAGAAAATAAAGACTAAAAGACTAACAGCTGTGAATCCACAGTACCAGAAGAACAAAAATGTTAGCAAGAACCAGCTGTTAGTTCATTCAAACATAAAGAGCACATTGAACATCGCAAGGAACTAAAGAAAAAAAGAAAAAGAAAGGAAACCCAAATCACAGTAAAATAAGCTAAGATAGTAACTTGCACACAAAAGAAACGATTGAGAAGAAACTCACATAAGTAATATACTCCATATGGTTCAACTGTTTTAAAAAATTGCACAATTGTAGTTAATATGCAGTAGCAAGAAAAAGTAGTGGTCAGAGAAAAACTAGTTTTGTCATTTTTTAAAGAAATGTTTTTAAAAACTAGTAAATCTATCAGAAATGGCTTCTATGGTTGATGCATTATCAAAAAGAATTCAGAAGTATAAAGGGGTAAGTGTAAAACACTACACATATCTCTGTTTTGTATATTAAGACCGAACCATTGAAATGCCAAGGGTAATAATACACTAATACTTTTATAAATGGTTTATTGTATATATATAAACAAGTAAATTTACAATTTTTACAAGTACAAGAAGATGAGCAATTTTTATATTTACCCAAAATGTAACAGAAAAGGCTGATTAATTTAGCAATGCTATAATCAATTGTAGATATTTAGCATCCAACATCTATGCTGAAGAACCTTTAATCTAATGAACACATACCTTACACTAAAGAGTAATCTTATTGTTTCCAAATGCAAATTAGTTAAAATAAATTTTAATTACATGATTCCTTTAATATGACCATAGAACTTTAATTGTTTCTAACTGTAAAACATAACTGTTTTCTTGTCACTTCCTGGATGCCATCTTGAGACATCATTTTCTTTTCTTCTTTTTAATGTTCCTGTGTTTGCAGTTGTTAAGAATATTACTTTATCCCACAGCTGATACCGAGACTAAAAACTGAATGTAGAGAGGAATGTACTGTCCATCACACTAAGATGATTACAAATATGATATTGACTTTGATACTAAAAATGTTAAATAAGGTATACTGACTTTAATTTTTCATGTATACAGATCTAAAATTGACCTTACAAGAAGGAGGGGGTCTAGAAATAAGTAAGAAACAGCATAGTCTTAATCATCGAAAAGAGTAATAAATATCTGTCTTTGCACTCAAGTATGAATGCATATGACAAATAACAAGGTGATCATTGGTTCCAATGTGTATACAGGATTAATAGATAGATTTAAAATACCCTTGTGCTAATTCTTTCATCATGACATGATCACCAAATGTTAGGTTAAAGAGGACAACAGATTTACAACCTACTGGGTCCCATGATAGCTTACAGGTTAGGAATGCTAAAGCAACTTCTCTAGAATGTTTAAGATAGTAGCTAAATGGATTATAGCAGTAAATGAGGAAAATCTTGGTTAATAGAAGCTTTCTAGAACAACAAATCATCACAGAATATTGTTGCTATATATATTTTAATTTTGTGACTTATCAAACTTTTCTGATCATAAATATGTTTTTACAATCATGAACATGGGTTGTTCACATATCAACAAGAAAAATATCCTCAAAAGTACAATGCTTTGATAGTTTCAGGAAATCAGTATGTTTAAATTTAATTATAAAACTACACACACAAGTCAATGCAAGTTTTCTGAACAAGTTTAAACCATCATGCAACAGTAATGGTAGAAAAATTATCCTGATGATAAGAAGAGTGGAGGATGGAATGTTGTCTAAGTTGACTTCATGAAGATTAAATACCAGCAAAATAAGAATAAAACAACAGATGCGGAATAATAAATCTTATATGGAACAGAAATTAAACAAAATACAGGAAAGTAATGAAAGAACAATAGAACAAAACAACTTCACAAATATTGTTACGTAGTTAACATACTTTCACTAGGGAAAATTCTTGCCTTACTAATCTTTTGACACTATTTGAAGAGGTTACTGCTTATGTAGATGAGGGTAAGGGTGTGGATTTTCAGAAAGCAATTGACAAAATACCATATAAAAAGCTTGTTTAAAAAAAAAAGAAATAGCTAGAGTGTGAGGGTTAACTTGACTAATTGTTTATGAAAGTGGCTGGATGGAAGAAAGCAGAGGGTTGTTAATAGAGTTCACTGAAACTAGATTAATGTCACAAGTGGGACACCTAAGGGCTCAATGTTAGGTCCTTTAGTCTTTTTGATTTACTTCAATGATATGGATGACGATATGGTCAATAAGTTGCTTAACTTGTTGATGATATTAAGATTTTGGGTGTTGCTGGCTGTGAAGAGAATGTTGCTGCTTTAGAAAATGTTTTAGATCATTTGACAAGTTGGTTGAATAAATGGTAGATGGCTTTTAATTATAATAAACACAAGGTAATGCATATAGGATACCATAATTTGAATCATAAATATAACTTTGATGGGAATAACCTAAATAGTGATATGGAAGAAAAGGATCTTTGTGTTTTAGTAGTTGATCACTCTCTGATGCCATCCAAGCAGTGTGCTGTTGCTAGTGGCACAGCAAATAGGATTTTAGATTCTGCCTACAGAACTTTTGAATAAAAGTTTAAAGAGGTTATGATTGGGCCACATTTGGAGTATATGTTCAGTCTTGGGCTCCTTACCTTAGGAAAGAGGTTGAATTGTTGGAAATAATTCAGGGAAGGGATACTAGATTGATACCTGGGATGGAAAGGTTATCATACAAGGATAGATTAGGAAGAGTTAGAGGAGGCTTAATTGAGTTGTTTAAGATTGTTAAAGAACAGATTGCATCAATACATCATCTTCTTTCATATTTAATGGTGAGTATGGTAGGACTATATAAATATTGGCAGAATAAGAATCATCTTCATCTAAGAAAGTTTTATTTTTCCAACAAGGTTGTTGGCTTTTGGAATGAGTTACTTTCGGATACAGTGGAAAAAATAAATTTAAGGGAAGCCTTGATAAATATTTGAATTATGAGGACTAGCTTGGAGATATTTACTAATATAGTTTAGTTTAGTAGATGGGTTCCTTGTTCTTAAATATTATGTTAAACTACCCAGCTCTTAGAATAACAATATGACCTTTATAAGGATAAAAATAATGACATGAAACAAAATTCATTATGAAACACTGCCAAAGACTCAGATCAACAATGACTAGATGTCAAGAGTTAACATCTTTTAAAATGGACAGTCAAAACATTCTGATATCAATAACACTTATGCCAATATACACTGAGCATAGGAAAAATATGTATAATGCTTTTGATTAGAGGAATAATCTTGTTTATGGATTTCAGTTCCTTCAACAAAGATATGATGTCATGAATGATTTCAAAAATGATGTCTGGGGAGTAACAGAAAGGCTTAGTGACATATAATTAAAAGTCAAAGATTAGCTCTAAAACATGTAATATATGTTAACCAATATAAAAAAAAATTAAACAATGATATAATGTTATAAACGATGTCACAAAATGATTTCCAAAGAGTGACAGAAAGGCTTAGTATTATATAGTTAAAAATCAAAGATGTAATTGTATGTTAACCAATCTGAAGAAATCTTAAATGTCTATCTTTGTAAAAACTTTCATTGATAATTAACTTGTACCTGATGATGACAAAACCTTGTCCAAACGTTGTACATTTGCTGTTATGTTAAACTTATATTAAAGTTTTTCT